GTAATTTTTGTGTAAACATGTAATGTTTCGAATATTTCTCATTGATATACACAGAAAATCTCAATGGTAGAAAAAGTACTACAGTTGATATAAAGTATGTCCTAAAATAATGATTTTAAAAGAGCGTAGGCTCCAAATATGTGTTAAGAGGAAGCTCACGTTTGAAAACAAAATATAATAATAAGAGTCATTGAAACGTTATCAAGTCCAACATTTTATTCAGAATTAACTTTTCGGTTCGCTATTAACATTTTCGCAACAAGTGGAACTGAACTAACAATATCCGTGTTTAAGTATATGCTCCAATTTTAACAAATATATATATTTATATAAATTTCATACAAATTCGACTAAAAATATGTACGTACGTAAATCAAGTGGGAAGATTCAATTAGAACGGAATTCTTTACATGCCGCCTGAATGAATGCAACTGAAAAGGACTCCTGTTGAAATAAAATGAAAAATATAAAGAAAAAATCTCAACAATTTTAAACGTAATCGCCCCTTGGATATATCGTTTGTGGGCATAATAATAAGGTTCAAAACTGCTTGGGAGGGGATAGGCCGGGTGCTTTTTAAATTAGCAGGATAGAAGCCGGGTGGCACAAAGGTTCCATATTCATGCAAGTCCGGGTGGAAACTGGGAAGTTAGTACAACACTCGGCACGTCATTAGAGAGTCGAGCGCGGCTAAGTGCCAAGTTCGGGCTCAAGGAGACTCGTTTTAGGAAGAACGCCGTCGCAAAATGTATCGAACGACATTACTTTGAATATTTTGTTATATACGCAGTGTTTTTTTTTCATCTTTCTTTGATTATTATTACTCAATGCGATGCTTCCTCAAGTTATGGTTAATAAAAATACATATTTTATGGACTTCTCTATATATTTTTTTTCATTTCTGCTCCAAATAATGTTATTTTTGTACATTTCTAATGTATGTTTACTTAGATACTATTTTTTTTTTAAATGGCGCTGATTTTAAATTCCTTCGTCGTGCCAAAAGCACCGTCCCCTACTTCCCCAAACATCCCCCCAAACTGGGGTATTAAGTACCTCCGTCTCGCCCTAAACAGCCCTCGAGTCTACAATTGCGTAGATCTTAGTGTTTCATTTGGCCTCACACTCCTGACAAGTGATTTTCGATTTTTACTTTTTTCTGTTAACCTTACGATGGATAAGAGTTATCTTCTGTATTTCCAACTTTATATTACTAGCAGTAAAATTGAAAACCGCTTATTAAATTGTATTATAGCCCGTAGTTAAGAGGAAGATAGATGTAAACTAAGGCTTTATATGACACTACTCTTACACTATTCATATCCCGAGAACATCAACTTCACTCATTACATTTTATATTAAATGAATTGAAACTTGTGAAATGTATTACAAGTACTTTTAAACCTAATGGGTTTTATATCTCCATACTTCCAAATTTATTCAAAGAACAAGTAGTCAGTCATATTAAAAGCATGAATTTTAGAAAAATCCTACTCATTCTGATGACATGTGGCAGCCGGGAACGATTTCATTACGCTTTTAAACACTTACAGGAAAAGTTGCGAAAATGTGTAACAATCGTGATAAATGGAATACGACTTTGACATCATTTAGATAAGGTTCTGAATTGCTTGAGTACGATATTATTTGATTTGGAACATCGTGTAGTGACTGTCTGCGCCTGACATGTTGCATTTTCAGTTAATTAGTGCGATTTTGCGATGTTTTAACGGTTTCAAATCGCTTGAAGGGAATCTGTTAAGGTAATATGAGGATTTTGCGATAAATTTATGGGTTTAATTAAGTAATGAGGAACTTTATTAATTTATTGGACCAGTTCTATGATCGGGCAAGTTAACTAACTACTTCAGTTGTTTGATCGAACTTTAAGTTTTATAAAATGAATGATACTTTAATTAAATTGAATTTTCTAATTGCAGTTGAGTTTTGTTTTTCTTTGTAATTATTCCATTCTATGTTTGTATTACTATACAAAAATCGTTTTCGAGGTCGAGGTGGAGATGAAAGTGTTTAAAAGTATTTGTCAGTGAGTCTTATTATATGCCTTACCTACAATGGTATTCTTATTTTCGTCCTTATTGTTCTAAATGCAAGCAAAATATAATTTTGATTTAATTTTTTCATGGGGGAATCCCAGGTGTTGTGTAAATTGCAAGCAATCTTCTCGGCGTAAATTAGAATGTTTTAAATTCCAGTGGCACCCCTTTTTAAACTGTTAATTGATATATGTTTAAAAATAATATTGATATTCTGATCTCATAAGTATATAAACAAAGCAGTAGACAGTAAATTTAATCATTCTACAATATTTTTTTTATTGTACGTTTACACGTGTTAGTAATTTACATAATTTATATTTCTATTCATAAGATCAAGATAATGTTTCTAGTACTTGACTCTATAATATAATAGGACTGAATGACCGCAATAGAGTGTAACCAGACTTGGTAAATAAATTAATGAATTCTAAGTGACTACGCAGCAAGACCACAGATAATGTGTTACAAGTTACAACGACATTAGACCGCAAGAATAGTAGTATTCCTATACCTTGAACTAGCACCACATTATAAGAACGGATATAGGCTGATTAAACCATGTCAAAAAGTACTGCATTTAGCTGCTCAAATAAAAATAAGGTTTAGAAAGAGTCGTCTTAAAGCCTCACTGATACTTAAAAACCTGTTTTTTTTTAGGATGTTTTTGTTAAACAAACTTACGTCAGTTGAGTGTACTTATTTCGGAATCAAATACAATATGTATGTAAAAGTGATCTTTCTAGATATATCAGGAGTTTAATGCCAGTGTCTTAAGAACAAACAACTTCTATTTATCAAACTACAAGTTAATGATCGTTATTACCACAGAGAACTTGATAGGTCTATGATAAAGATTTCAGGATGAAAGCAACAATGAAGATAATTTATAATAATACTTACATGAAGATTTGGAGTTATACAATGAGCACTGATTTCCGATATGAAGATTTTGCGAGAGAAATAAATATATGGGCTCGATGAGTATGGCTCAAAAATATTGCTATACTATTGACTTATAATTGAATATTAATTAGGAGAATATGCCACTAGAGAAGATTCATAAAAACAACTAATTAAGATTATGTATAGAAAATATTCATAACTATCATTACACATTTATAGCTACAGACACTAGTATATTAAAAATATATTTAATATCGAGTAAGTTTAACAAATAATACACAGTTTAATACAGAAGCTATTTCAGAGAGAACTATAGTTATTATTCGTATCTTTGTGCGGAAAGAAAGTCGAGCAATTTCCGAAAGTCATACCGACGAAGTTTCAGAGTGGATAAATTACAAAATAAATACTTAGAAAACAAAAGATAACACGCTTACATAGAAAAAGAAGTTTTTATTTGTTAATCCTGAAGAGATAATTAATATTGCTTAAACCTAAAATATATATTTTAATCAAAATATTATAAGTTGTGACAGAGGTGCAAACATACTATTTATAGATGAAGGCGGAAAAAAATTATTTTTTTGAATTAATAATAATGAGAATATTAATTTTGTTTTGTTTTAAAAGTAACTTTTGAACTGTAATAAGCGCTCTGAAATTTTTGCTTTATATTTTATAGACAAATACCAAAACGAGGTAAAAGAGGAGTAGCCCCAATGAGTTTGAGTTTTGGAATATTAAAATGTAAGAATAGACTTCGAGGAAAGTTAGGGAAAGGTATTCTACCTAAGAGCATTTTGCAGTTAAAGCCTCTGGAATGAAGGAATTCTCTTTTGTGTATATTGTTCCAAATAAAACGGTGATAAAAACAAAAAAATATTGTAAGCGGTTAATACTTTTAATTATTGTTTTATAATCTTAGATTGTCTCAAGGACTCCATAAGGGTCCATGATTGCCGATAAAATATTAATTGTAATAGAACAACAGATAGGGCAAATTCTCAATTGCCTTTTAAATTCTTTCAAATGATTAATTGTTTTTCGTGAAAAGAATGAAATGAAATTCGTCATGTTACAAAAATGTTAACGGCTTCTTCTATAAAACCTACCTCTTTGTTGACTTCGGAAACTTGTAAGGGGAGTAGTTAAAAATTTTCTTTTTTAAAGAGTTTCACAAACTCAAAACCCTCTAATGGAGGGAACCATTAAGCATTCATTGATTTCTAATTTATCTTACTTTTTTGGATTTTTCTTTCTTTCAGATTGCCAAGTTAATCGTATTTTCCGACCAATTCCAATTATGAAGTGTCGTAAATCTTAAATTTATTGTTTTTATCGTTAATTTGTTTGAACTTTCATTCGCTGTTATAAATCTTAAATTGTACGGAATAATTATTCAAATAATTCTTAACGTTTATAAGACAATTCAGGACACTAACGTGTTAATTAAGCGGAGATTGAGTCCTTATAATTGGATTAGATAACATATAATACACTTATTTGAATTTATATACCTTTGTAGTTATATGCATGTAAAACTATTTATTCATTTGTTACTATTATCAAGTTTTCAATGTAGTAAACATTTTTAAGTGAAAATATTCGGAAATTGTGATTGTTGCCTATCGTTGTATTTCAATAGCCCAAATAAATAGTGTTCATACTATTGTATTATTGATTACATTACAAACAAACATCACCGTATTCACTTTCAATGAAAACCTTGCAAGGACTAATCGCTTAACAGTTTTTAATATTTCATATAGATTCCAACATATAGGCAAAGGAGTTCTATATGAGTCATACATATTATATAAATATATTCTACATATAAACCACCAATCCAGATTGTGTTATCCACCAATCCACATGACTTTATAAACTTTTCTCTCGCTAGCATTATAACAACAACTATAAGGTTTTATTATCCTCTTTCAAATGATGAAAATTGACACATTACTTAAAAACAAAATTTGACAGTGCCAAGACCTAAGCATAAAAATTTTATATTTACAAACACAATTTAATGTCCCAATGGAAGAATATGGATATCAGTATGCGTCTCCTTATCCAAAAATGCAGATCCGTGGAGGGGAATATCCGGACCATGGAGACGGGTTTGGTGACTATTATGGAATGGAGGCAATGAATGGAGAACGAGAAACTAAGAGGTTGGTTTAGACACCATAGTTTACACGTCATTAGAATATAAAAATAGTTGCGACATATATGTAAGTATATTGACATATTTAAAATGTTAAATTTAAAAGCACAACAACTGACACACTACTTAACTGTATTTTTATTTTCTTTTTATTATTTTATGTGAAATCTTACAGACGCAGTCGCTCCCAACAACGTAAACATAATCGCGACACCAAAAGATCACGAAGTCGTTCGAAATCTTCTCACTCCAGAACGCGGAGTCAATCCCATTCTATTTCACGATCCTTATCCCGACGGTCCAGAAGTCATTCTAAAAGTCGGAGTCGTTCCCGTTCTAGAAGCAGGCGTCTGGTTTATACAGAGCCAAGCTTCTTAGATGCGTTTAGAGTATTGTATTTAACACGTAAATATTACAATTTCATTTTTATTATTGTTTTTTTTTTTTAATAATTGTGGTAACTGAGTTTTCTATGATTATATATATTTTTTCAGCAAGTAAGCATAAGAAGAGCACCACAAAATATCTAGCCACTAAGAAGAAACAAGACAAAATACAAGAAATTCTTAAAAGTGATGGTCTTGGATCCAAGCGTTGGCTATTCTACCCACGAGTCAAGAATGCTGAATCTGCTCCTAGCGAGGTTCCTGGTTCAAGAGACAACTGTGATAAACGAGTTAAAGTTGACGGGGACTTCTTCAGGAAGTACAAAAAAAGTAAGAGGATCGACGCGGACGCACCTATCGCGAAACTGAAGCGGTGGGAACTGATTTTGTATAAAAAACTAGGATTTATACAGGCTGTTTAGTTTTTGGGTTGATATAAATGTTGTTTTACTACAATGTACCTATAGTTTCCTTTTACGGTCACGTAACGTAGCTAATAGTAATAAAAAAAAGGTTTTTGGAGAAAAGACTTCCTACGATGATAGGGTCTCAATTTCGCAAGCAATGATTTTTATTTCGTTACAAATAAAAATGCAGAGCAAGTAATAAATTTAAACATTAGCTGCTGGAGGGAGTAATGGTCCGTCGAAAACACGGGAAAACTTTTAAATTAGTACCGAATCGTGAGGTTATCGCGCGGAAAATTGACGCGTGGGAAAAACAACGGGATTTGGATAGTTTGTTGTGGCAAGGGTGATCAATTTGTAAAAAATATTACCAATTACAATAATTAATGTTGGTATGTTAACTATACTCGAATTTTTGTTGTATATATAAATGGTTTGTTTATCAACAAAATGAGATAGCGAAGAAAAGCCTTCACTTCTTCATTTCATTGATGAGTTATTTGACTAATTTATTATAACAGAACAAGCTGTCTTTTATAAGTCTCTAAAAATACAAAAATACAAGGCTTTCCAGTCACAGTGAATATGTATAAAAATGTTAACATACCTTTTTAAATATTACATATTGTTTATTGATACATTTATGACATCGTGAAAATTCTTTTGAAACGCTAAGCTTTGTCGTTTTTACGTTAAGCATAATGAATCCAGAATACTGACTATATCATTAATAAACTCATTTCTTTTTATAAAACTTTTTAGGATGGAAAATGGTTTCCATTTAAGCATAAAAGCAGATTTAAGAAATAATTTGTAACAATATCTCATGTATACTTCGCATACTAATACAGATTCCCCTATCACACTACTTAAGCGTAGTTACAATGCAGTAACAAGTGCAGAGATACTTAATTTCTTCTACATGAATATTTAATTTTTACTGCCATAAAACATGGCCAGTATGTGGTCGGTGTAAATTTCGTTGAATTATAACAAGAACAAACGACTGAACACTTATTATTTTTTTCTTTTATAGCTTGAGTAGTTTCTTTGATTACATTGGAATTATGGGATTTAGAACTTTTGACATATAACGGATCTTACGGATAACTGTTTTGGAATATGATGTATAGAAAAATATTATTTTCTTTAAGTATGTAAGTTCTATAACTTTTATAAGTAAAATTATACAGAAGAAAATTTGTCATCGATGCATATATTAAATTAATTTGCTTATATTATTTAATCTTTTGGATAAGATATTAAAATGTGCTATACGTAAAATTTTACGTTTTATTAGTTATTTATTCCATCAAAAATATTTTCATCCATGAAATCATTTTTATTAATTGCTTAGCGGTATGAATCCCTACCCGAACTTTAATCCTGTTTACTTTGTCACATAACTAATAAACACTCTTAAAAATACTGGAAGTTAAATTCTTCTTGATTTTATGACGGCAAAGTTACCTGATCGAAAGAGATTAAATTTTGATTATAATATTTAACAATATCTCATACAACACAGGTTCTCATATGTTTGATAAATATATGACAGTTATGTCTTATGCAGGTAGTATGCACACAAGCATTTCTGTTGCCTGCAGTATTGATTATGTTAATTGGAACACCCAATAAAACACAGTTTGCCATATACAATGTTTGATTCTGTGCATTGCGGTAAGACAATAATTTGACACAAAGCGTTCCCAATAGCGGAAGCCATTTTGTGGTCGTTACTAATGTTTCAATACCTACACCAGACTTAAAAAATATGTGAAGCGAGATGGAAAATGATTTTAATGCGCACGTACTGGTAGACATTCCGTTTCAACGAACACTTCTTTCGTTATAATTTTAATTCTACCCTCACGTTTCTTTACCCATGGGAGAAGCGCGTTGGTTCATTTTTAGAAATACGCTGCTGTAATAGTAAAACTGCGGAGATGTTTTGACTCGGATATTAGCTTTTTATGGAGATTACAGCTTAGGTGATAAAGTATTATATCCCATATAATTTGGAATAGCTGTAATATATAGCATTGTAACTTTTACCTTATTAAATGGTAAGGATATTTCTATTTGAAAACTTTAACTAGGCCTTCACATTTTAACTTTGACTGGAGTTTTAAAGTAGTTGCTTGCACTTAAATTATTTTTCACTGATTAATCTGTAAACTTAAAACTGAGTGGCGAAAATTTATCAAAGAAATTTTTTAACTAGTTTAATATTTGAATGTGAATTTTATCGAATGAACATTTTTAAGTTGTTGAAGGAGTTTGAATAATTACTAAGAATATTAGCGTGATGTTGAATTCAAGACGGCAAGTGAATGCAATAGAGTTCATGTATAGCTGAACTAAAAGGAATTTTAATAGCTTATTATATGATAATTAGAAATAATGAAAGTGTGTTAATACATCGCCATAGGCAAAAGTTCCATATTTTTTTTATTCTTAATCTATTTCCTTACTTTCAACATATTTTTTAAACACAATATTTTCTCTCACAACCTGTTACCTGTTGTTACCTATAACTTTCAGATAACCGGCAGCGGATAAAACATGAAACTAGTGTGTTGTAAAATGTTTTTCTTGTCTGTTAACGGACACGTGTCAATAATACGGAGATTTATTGGGAGCGGTATTCGTCAGCACATATTGAAAAATGACATACTAGTGCATTAATAACTGGAAACTTTTATATAGTTATAACTTTAAACCTGTGTAAATTATAACTAAACAGCATAAATTTCATACCACACTTTGAAACGATCTTGATCTTGAACTTTAAAGTAAATCTTGATGCTAGGAATTAGTATTCTAAAAAGACCAGCTGTGCTGAAGGATACCGAAACACAGGCATATCAGTAACCTCACTGAGATGTTCAAACAAACATAATCACTGGTCACCACTGTGTGATCGATAAGCACCGGTAAAAGCTATTTTGGTCACCTCTATATCTATCGAGTTTAAAATTATTAGATCTTCAAAATGGTGGAGACTTTAAAAATAGATGTTATTTTAAATAAATACCCCTATCCCGGGCTGATGAAACAAGTCATGCTCAAGAGAGTAATCAAGGTGTGTTAAGTACGCCACGTCTTTAGAACATTTTCCTCTTTTCTTGCGTCTCTTGCTTTTTCTGTTTTTACTTTCCATGTTATATAAACAGAGTGAATAGAATAAAACAAAACATGAAAGCTAAATGAGTTCTTGAAATTATAACCATAAAACACAGCTGGACGAGACAGTGGCAGCTCGTTATAAGGCTCTCTCACCCACTCACCAACAAGCATGATGAAGCCACCCTGGATATACACTGTTGGCTTGGTGGCCCTTCAAGAGTGGCTAGTTCAATAGTTGGGTCCCCTACTGACAATCACGAGATCAGTGTCCTTCTTCAGTCAGGTCCAAAGATACCTTGCTACCCCCATGATCAATCATTCGAAACAAAGAACTTATTGGAGTATCGTTATAAAGCAACTGTTCGGACCTATTACCAAGCTTTTATTAGATAATGAGACTCTGGACGGAATGCCTTTGTCAAATATGTGGTAACTATGTAGGTTCATTGAAAAAATATATGCTTATTATTTTAACTCTATAATACTCTTTAAAAAACATTTAACCTAAGAAATGGGTTACATCGAAACTCTAAAAATAATAATTTAGTGAATATTATTCTACAAAAACTCAGTCCTCAAAAAGCAAGCGACATTATAACCCTCTAAATTGGGCAAATAAAAACATTTGATATTCACACTTGATCAGCTTACAACCCTTTCTTACTAATACGTTTAGTTAAATGGCGCTAGAAATCGTTAAAAAGGACCCGGATCAAAGAATTTAATGTTCCCTAAATTTACGAAATGAAGACTTTATTTCAGTTTATTTTTAAAAGGTTTGTACGAAAGTTGACAATTCACTACAGAATGATATTGTTTGGTTTTTATAGTTTTTTATACCTAATTTAATTTATCACTAATTATATTGTATATTTGCATGACTTAAAAAATGCCACCATGAGTTGTATTCTTAAAACAAATAAATTTTTTTTTTTTAAATATACTTTCAGAGGCCGATGACTAAAAATATTCCAGTATTAATTATATAAATATTAATACTCTACGCGCCTTATAAATAAAAAGCGCAATTATACAGCTATAACTCATGTTGATAAGAGTTTTAATAGGAGCTAAGGGAGTCTGTTCATAAGCCTAGAAAACAAAGGACTTTGTCGTTATTTATGTGTTGCTTCCAATGACTTATGTTTCGTTGTGTGTTTTGTGCGTATTGTTAGTGGATTAGGTTAATCTTTCTAAAATTAACGTCAGTGGAGATAAATTTTCCCCATTAATTTTACCAACTGGCCTTCCTATAAAAGTTTTATAGCTTATATTTATACAATTGTTATATCTAAATAACTTTTATATTATACATATACACATTGATTATTGAAACACATTACATATTACAAATGTATGTCTTTTTCGAAATTTCTTTATAGTAAATCTTTGGATTCTTCGTGGAAATGTTTCGAAATAACAACCACTCCAATATTAATTAGTATATGGTACGTATAAACTGCATCTCACACCTATATGACATATTCTAGGAAATCATAATAACAATTTACTTTACACGAAACTTTGAATTCCTTTGACAGAAAAGAAATTTATGCAGACTAGTTTATATGTATAAACGAACCTTTGTTTATATGAACTCTTTGTCTCTCAGGTTTAAAAATACTAAAAGTTTTAAAATCACATATATCAGAAAGTTCCTATTTACTGCATTAATTATTATACTAGGTATTATTATGTTTATAAATTAATTTATAAACTTCTAAATTGATATTACTAAAATATGGTTGGTCTTAAAAAAAACTAAAAAGTGCACTTATGTTAGTAAGGAAAGATTAATAAAACTTTTGTATTACTTTTAGCTAAGTTAATAGCATATTTAGCAGAACACACTCCACGTCCGTCCGTTATTCCCTGAGGTAATTTGG